AAACATGTTGAAATAGTTGGCGGTTCATTCCACTGTGGTGACCCCTGATGAATAAGGGACTCAGGGATGTCCAGACTTGGTCCTGGAGGGCCAGTGTCCTGCAAAGTTTAGTTCCAACCCCAAACCAGACACACCTGGGCTAGCTCTAAATATAAATAAAATACCACCAGTTAATTGAAGTAATTCTTTTAAATGACAAATAAAACCATTACAAAAGGATATTTGCTATATATATATATATATCCGGGCCGGGTCGCAGGGGCAGCAGTCTTAGGAGAGAACCCCAGATTTCCCTATCCCCAGACACTTCCTCCAGCTCCTCCGGGGGATCCAGAGGCGTTCCCAGGCCAGCCGAGAGACATAGTCCCTCCAGCGTGTCCTGGGTCTTCCCAGAGGCCGCCTCCCGGTGGGACATGCCTGGAACACCTCCCTAGGTAGGCATCCGAAACAGATGCCCGAGCCACCTCAGCTGACTTCTCTCGATGTGGAGGAGCAGCGACTCTACTCCGAGCTTCTCCTGGGTGTCAGAGCTCCTCACCCTATCCATAAGAGTGCGCCCTGCCACCCTTCGAAGGAAACTAATTTCGGCCGCTTGTATCCGAGATCTTGTCCTTTCGGTCATGATCCAAAGCTCATGACCATAGGTGAGAGTAGGAACGTAGATTGACCGGTAAATCGAGAGCTTTGTCTTTCAGCTCAGCTCCTTCTTCACCACAACGGACCAGTACATCGACCGCATTACTGCTGCCGCTGCACCAGTCTGCCTGTCAATCTCACGCTCCATCCTTTCCTCACTCGTGAACAAAAGCCCGAGATACTTGAACTCCTCCACCTGGGGTAAGAACTTTCCTCCAACCTGGAGATGGCAAACCACCTTTTTCCAGTGGAGCACCATGACCTCGGACTTGGAGGTGCGGATTCTCATATATATATATATATATAGAAGCTCTATTTGGTGCATGAAACATTACGATGTAATAATTTTTCTTAATGTTAAAATAAACAAACCAGAAAATGTTTTAGCAGTATTGTTAAATCTAAAAATATCTATATTACAAAGTGTTAATAAAACATTAGAAAATACACTCTTAGAAAATAACTCAAGAGGTCAGTTACCACTACATAGTCATTGTTGTAACCTAAAATATCTAAATTGTTGATTATATTAAAACTTTTAAGTTGGCAGAATACTTTTATTAAGCTTTCAAATATTTATAATTGCATCAACTTAATATATCCGTCAATTAGTTTAAAACAATATTTACCTTGTAGCAACCCAAAAAAATTGGGTTTATAACAAAAATTTTTCATGCTTATGAAGTTGTTTTGTATTTTGAAGTTCACACACTGATGTTTTTGTTATTACTCATTTTGTTTAAATGGGACAGTACATATTTTTGTTTTGTAAAGCAACAAAATCTGTGGTTTAAAACAAATAAAAAACTACTACAGGAGAAGCACTTTTGCAACTCTCTACTAGCCGGGCTTCCAGCTAACTCTATCAAGCCTCTTCAGCTGCTTCAGAACGCAGCAGCACGAGTGGTCTTTAATGAACCTAAAGGAGCACACGTCACTCCGCTGCTCATCCGTTTGCACTGGCTGCCAGTTGCTGCTCGCATCAAATTCAAAGCTCTGATGTTTGGTTACAAAGCGACTTCTGGCTTTGCTCCTTCTTATCTGCTCTCACTTCTGCAGATTTATGTGCCCTCCAGAAACTTGCGTTCTGTAAATGAACGTCGCCTCGTGGTTCCATCCCAAAGAGGGAAGAAATCACTTTCCTGAACTCTTGCATTTAATCTGCCCAGTTGGTGGAATGAACTCCAACTGCATCAGAACGGCAGAGTCACTCGCTGTCTTCAAGAAACAACTAAAAACTCAACTATTTAGTCTCCACTTCCCTTCCTAATCTGCAATTGCCTCTCTGGCTCCACCATTAACTGTACTACAATTAAAATAAATAAATAAATAAAAAATTACTAATGTTTTGCTTCTTACACTTTACAGACCTGAAGCTTGCCTATAGCACTTATTCATTGTTGCTCTTATAGTTGTGTAAATTGCTTCCTTGTCCTTATTTGTAAGTCGCTTTGGATAAGAGTCTGCTAAATGACTAAATATACTGGAAAACAAAAGTTGCTGTTAAATGTATTTTGTACAAGCGATTAAATAAACAGGGAAAAAAAAAAAAAACAACTAAATTTCAGCTACTTAATTTATTTTAGGTTCTAAACTTGAAAATGTGCACATGATTAAAAAAAACACGATGTTGATTAAAAAAAGTTTTTTTTAGAGTACCCTGACGAGAAAAAAAAAAAAAAAAAAAGTTTACGCTTTGTAAAAATGCCTCTGATTGAAAAGGAAAAGGTCACTTGCCTAACCTAATAAAATTTGTCTGAACTAAATGTTGTTGTAACCCGAATATATCAATGCAAACTGTTGCATTATTTTTTATTTGGTCTGAGCAATATTATTAGTGAATAAAGAGAGACAGGAGACAAAATACTATGAACATTAATTCTTTTTTATTGAAAAAATAAATTACATTTCAGAAGAACAGATTAAAATGAGGTAAAACTAAACTAAAATAGAAGCCTCTTTCACTGAACTGCAGATACAGTAAAACAAATCTTTTTTTTTTTTTAACAATAACAATGTTAAAGCAGTTTCCAGAGCTCCCCATGGAGACTTGTTGAAATTAGTGTACTCAAACCCCAATCAATACTGCCAGTATGCAAATCACGTGCATTTATTCCTTGAACAGATGGTCCCTCATTACAAAACATTCACTCACTCTGACAATGCTGAAAGTCCACCATCATCGCTTTACATTAGAGACTGACTAAAGCAATTAAAGTGCATTCGTCTTCAAATCAACCAGACATCCTCGTATACCACGACAAAGCCAAGAACATCAGTGTGTGTGTGGATTATTAAAGAGACAGCAGCAGAATTTAACTACTGAAAAACTGTGCAGTGTAACACGTCAACTTCTCAGATGCCACAATATAAATAAATATCTGGTTCATAATCTATAAATATACATCACTTCAGTCAATATAAAGCAGCAGTTAGTTAGAAAAATGTGCAACTTTAGTCACCGTTAAATAATGCAGAGGTTTCACACAACGGTGTGTGTTTGTAGTGTTGATTCAGTTGCACTGCTTTAAACACTTCACAACAGCCCGAGTCATTCTCACAGTGGCACTTTATATATTTAGACACACACACACTCACAAATGCACGCTCGTACACACTCACATGCTCAGACATGCCACTGAATGCGCTCAGATGCGCATACACACGCATAAGCGCTCGCACATACACTCTCGGACGCACGCACGCACAAACACGCGCGCTCGCACGCACGCACAAACACGCGCGCTCGCACGCACGCGCTCGCACGCACGCACATACGCGCTCGCACGCACGCACATACGCGCTCGCACGCACGCACGCGCGGGCACGCACATACACACAGGCATACACGAACACAAATGGTTGGTCCCTGACTTCACTTGTTGAAGGTTATTTGAATGATTTGGAACGGTAAATAAATAAGATGTTAACGAACAGCGTCTTCCTCCGGTCACATTCACAGAATGAGATCTTCCACACCTTCAGGTTTAAAACCCAGAGATTTAGTCCTTAAGTCCCTTCACAAGCTCTTCATCTGGACCGCACACCTAATGTGGACTTGATGTGCTCGTACACCACATAGCTGATGCTGACCGCTGGGATGACCTTCAGGAAGTTTGGGGTCAGACCCCGATAGAGGCCTGTGGGACCCTCGGTTTTCATGATCTGCTTAAAGAGCCCAGTCATTGATACCTGAGAGGAGCCTTCAACAGAAGCTGCACAAAAACAGAGAGAGAGAGAACTAGATTCAGTACATGCAGGATTAAAAATGAGTATTTCATTATTGCATAACTAGACATGAATTCTAAAAAATAATTTAATTATTGCATAATTAAAAATGAATTTTGAAAATTAATATTTAATTATTGCATGACTCAAAATAAGTTTCCATTATATCATGACAAAAAAATGAATTAAAAAAAATAAATAATTAATTGCAAGACTAAAAATAAATTCTAAAAAATTGCATAACTAAAAATGAATTAAGAAAATTAATATTTAATTACTGTAGGATTAAAATTATATTCAGAATGTTTAAAACACTGCATGACTAAATTGAAGACAAATATTTAAATTACAATTACATAATTAATACAAATAAATTTTACGACAAATTTTTCAACTGCATGACTAAAATTGATTTACCACCAATATTTAATTGCATGATTTACATGCAATTATACAGTTACATAACTAAAAACAGCAGTATTTAAATAATGCAGAACTAAAATGTTATTTTAAGATAAACATTTAATTATTGAATGACTAAAATTTAAATTACGTGATCAAGGTTTTATTGCATTACTAATAATTAACATTAAGATGAATATTTAATTGCATGACTAAAAATGTAATTAAAATAAATATTTAATTATTGCATGACAAATTTAATTGAATAAATTTAATTGCATAATCTTTCACAATAATTATTTAATTATTGCATAATTAAAAATTTAATTTTACATTAAATTATTAATTAATTTTATATTACATTATTGCAATTAATTTAAGACATTTAATTATTGCATGACTAAAATGTATTGATACTAATGAAACAATTTAGTAAAGCCGTTAATAAAACAATTATTCAGCAAATATTTACCCAATGCACGACTAAAAATGCATGGTAAAGAGCTCACCTTGTGCCTGCATGCGTGTCCGTATGAGCGCCAGCGGGTAACTGGCCAGCTGGCCACATGTGCTGGAAACTGTACCACACGCCAAGAGCACAAACACACCCGGATCTGCATTTTCAGTACCGTATCGCTGAAGCCAAGTGTTCTTCAACGTCTATCAAGAACAGATTAAGAATTAATAATGAGCCTTGGTGATTGACAGCAGCTGTGATTGCTTTAGTTTGAGCTCCTCTGCTCACCTCATAGACTGCCAGGTCGATGCCAGCATACGGGATGATGCCCAGCATGTTGGGTACGTAGCCTTTATAAAACGCAGACATCCCCTCAGTCTTCAGGATGTGTTTGGCACAGTCTGAGATGCCCTTATATTGACCCGTCTTTCTTAACGCCAGACGAGTTTTGAGAACCTGAACAAATTAGAGTTACGTAAGAACATGTTTATAGCTAAACAGGAACAAAAGTGCAACGCTGAGGGCAGCTTAAGGTTGTTAAAACACATTGACTGACTGACCTCCATGGGGTAGATGGTGCTCTGAGCGATGACTCCTGCTAATGAACCTGCTACGAAACGCTCAGAGATGCCAAGAGTCTCCTGACTGCTGCCCATCACACGCTTGATCTGACAAATCAACAAACAGGATTAATGTCATGCAATAATGTCAACTTTCAAATATTTAACCATGACATGATTGTGAAGCACCTTGGGTGCATGGTGATGCTCAATGAATGCACTTTATAAATGCATATTATATTACATTACATATTGTAATATTTTAATTATTTTACTTATGCTCCCATCTTTATATAATATTATATTATAGTAATTTTACTACAAGTATTATTTAAAGTAATTTTTTGGTTTTGCTTTGTCATGGTATTAGTTTAATCAGGGCAAAAAATACAAATAAATAGTCTTAATGCCTTTTCCCTAAAAATGTTAATATTTAATATCCAGTTTCATGCATTTTTTCATACAATAATTTTACATTTTGTTGTAGGAAAAAAAGAAAAAAAAATTAGAATAAAAAAATAACTAAATCTTACACTTAAAATAAATAAATAAAAATCTCATACAAATTAAATTAGTTAAATGTTGTGGTATGATTTTTATTCCTGATAAATGTTTATTATATAATATTTACATTTAAAGTATTTCTCCAAATATTCAAAAGTATCACAAGTCCTAGAAAAACTAATTGAGTTAATATTTAATTAGTGCATTACTAAACATTCAATTTAAGATGAATATTTAATTGCACGACTAACAAAATTAAGACCAGTATTTAATTATTCCATAAATAAGATTGAATTTAAAACAAATAATAAAATCTCAGACAAATTTAATTACTTTATAGTCTCATTTTTATTCCTGATAAATGTTTTAATATAATATTTAAATTGAAGTTATTTTTCCAAATATTCAAAGAATCACTTTAAAATGCTTTACATAGTGCCAGAAATCTGATTAAAAATCCTAGAAAAATTAATGTAGTTAAGCTTTATAGAGTTATATTTATTCCAGGTAATGCCCCCTACCCAATGACGTTTTATGTAATTAAATATTTCCATTTCAAGTATTTTTTTCATTAAATAAACCTTTTTAGTACAAATCTTTTTGATAAAACCCTAGAAATAATCATATATTGATCATGTAAGAATAATAAAAAAACTAACATATATATATATATATATATATATATATATATATATATATATATATATATATATATATATATATATATATATATATTTTTTTTTTTTTTTTTTTTTTTTGTTTTTTTTTTTTATTTAGTTTAATATTAAGCTTCACATACTTTAAAAAAAAAATTTTTAATACTGATTTCAGATTGTTAGTAAGAAAAAAGTGCATCATTTCTCATATTACCTGCTCATAAGCCATGAACTTGAGCGCAGTCTCAGGTGCGATTTTGATGACATTAATGCCATTGCCCCTCCATAGTGAGCGAACCCCTCCTTCTTTAATCATCTGTGTGAGTCCACTCATTAAACACATGCTTTTCCCCTGACAACCATGAACCTGAAACACACAACACACATTCATCATCACTACAGGAAGTCAACGGTAATGATATCACACTTAACAGCTCCATTGATTAAACCAACATGGTCTATTAAATCGAGACTTTCGACCCACACATGTGCGGGAACAAAGTTGAGGATTTCGAAAAATGTAGGTGAAAAGTATTTAGGGCCAAAAACTCTGAACAACCAAAGTCCAGTTGAGTAACGGCTGACGTAAAGCTGACAAGCATGACACAGATCTTCACTATCACACTGATGTCAAAGCACAGGTGCTGTTGCAAAACTCAGACCAATCAGAGCGCAGAACAGTTGGTGTGCTTGAATTCTCCATTCTGATTGGTCGGCTGCATGAACGGACTAGCAGAAATTACCGGGAACATTCGTTTATGATACTGATTAACTGTGATAATGACTTTTGGGAAACAAAAGTTATTGTCCGGATTTAGGCAGAACAGAGACGTGGTTATGAAAGGAAGACTGCCGTCATGAAATATAATATAATAATAGTTTGCTCAGGGTTTCAGAGAGTAGATGTATTTTTATGGCACAAATAATTTGATTTTAAATTTTCCAGACATTCTTTTCATATTAGTGCCAAAAAACTAAATAATTTTATTAAATATAAAAGTATTTATCAAACAAAAACTCATTAATTCTTTAAATATTTAATTAACGATCAAGTTAAAATAAAAATAACTTTATAGATAAGCAGTATAAATGTTTTATATACACCAAAATCAATATTTTCCCAAATATATAAACTTGCATATCTGTATTTATATTTATCTATACACGCAAAAAGCATCTTAAACGAATACATTTATTTTATATGCAATTAATAGTGATTAATAAGTATTTATGATCTAACAAATGATTATGATTTAACTTTTTCTAATGACTGAAGGTGGATAGTCCTTCAGAAGCTGAACTGACTTAATCATGTGATGTTGTCTAGTTATGTCCATGTAAATAAAGGTGCGTGTTCTGTTCCTCAGCGTACCTGCATGAGCACTTTAAGGCGGTCAAGTGGAGCGGTGCAGGTTCGAGAAACAGCTCCAGCTCCTCCACCGGACACCAGATGCCTCCACCACATCCCAGTTAGGTGCTCTTCCACTGTAAACTCATCTGGCACCATCAAACTCTCACCAACATCGAAGATCTACACCGAAACAGGTCAGGAAATAATTAGATTGTCACTCACTGGGGTTTTTCAGATCATCTGCTGTCCAAGTCCATCGTTAATTAAGTTTAGCATTAATGTGTAAATATATACTGTATATTCATGCTGAAATCCTAAAAAAATAAATAAAAATAAATAAATACACACATTAAGCATTATTAGCATACACACATCAAAATAAACCAATAATGGACATTTTTAACAATGCTGGAGAAATGAAGAAAATAATAATAAATAAAAATACAATAATAAAACAATTTTTTTAAATAGAGAAAATCTTCATTTATACTTTAAAAATATTTATTTATATTTTTAATAAATGATTGAAATTAAATTATTTAAATGCATAAACAAAATATGCTAGAGAAGCAGCAATAATCTATATTAATAACAACGCATTTTAAATAAATAGTTAAATTAATTTTTATATCGCAATTAATTAATTATACACATTTCAAATAAAATATGCATTTTTTAAATAATAAATTGATAAATAAAGGATACATTGATGATGAATGGCTTCTCTTTTTATGGAATTATGAATTTCCATGAACAAGAATAGGTTTTAAAGGTTGTTAAGGGAGGAAAACATTTATTGAGATAGTAATTAATAACATTTACTTGGTTAATATCACATGCAGAAAATCAAATAAAAAATATCATTAGATTTATTATTTTGATATAATGTTGATATTGCATGCAGAATTTTTTTAAAAATAAATCAAAAACATTATTTTTGTATTATTATTATTATTATTATTATTAATAATAATAATAATAATAATAATAATGATAATAATAAACTAATAACAAAAAGACCAACATATTTAACTAACATTAGTTCAGTAAACACAAGTATTTTGCATTCGCAAGAGAACTTAAGTGCATCAACCTTAATGTGTGCGTCAGACTGATCTGACCTGACCAGTGACGCAGAGGGCATCAAAGTGCCATCCAAAAAAAGTCTGCACATTGCATCAGATTACAGTCTCGCTGACAAAGCCTGCAGTCCAGTTTAAACTGCTGATAATTAAGAATCTAAAGTAGGTCGCAGACATTTTAAATGCCCTTCACAAAGTCTGAAAAGTTTCAAATGAACACAAACCGTGAGCGAGTGTCAACGTGTATTGTTGCATAAACTGTCAGGACACTCAGTGCTGGTTTAATTTGGGTGTTCTGACATTTGATTAGCATTTTTAATGGTAGTATTAATAGATGGCGACTAGTTAAGATTTAGTATCTGCAACATTACACCTATTAAACTGGAGCTCGCCCTGGATCACGGTGTTCCACCGGGACTGCGGTTATTTTTGGCAGTAAATGTTAAGACTGTCACCATGCATATGTAATACCTGCAGATCTGAAGACCTTTTTTGAGTGTTATTTAACATGTCCGCAATTCTTTGCACATGTAATATTAGTGCTGTGCAATTATTAAGTTCTAATAAAATAAAATCTGCTGATATTTTTGGCAGTAAATGTTAAGAATGTCATCAAATGGTTATAATACCTGCAGATCTGAAGATTTTTTTATTTTAATAATTTTCAATTAATTAATAATAATAATAATAATAATAATAATAATAATAATAATAATAATAGACGTCAAGCTAAAAAAAATACCTGACCATCTAAAGACACACAAAAAAACTTAACATAGGCCTAATTTAATTATTCAATTAGATTAATTTTTTTATTTTTTTGTCTAGAAAAAAGGTTAAATTATATTAAATTATACATATCTGTACAATCACTCCCAGCAGATATAGGTTCATCAGATTTTCACATTAATACTTTTGTGATTATGAAAAGCAGATCTGCACTCAAGATTAAAGAAAACGCCCTATTGCCATATTAGTGATATAAACATTTGTTCAGGATTTCAGAGTAATGTTTTTATTTAATGCCATGCCTGCAACCAAGGCTATTTTTATTTAAAGAACATTTCAATAATAAATATGCAATTAAAAAATAATAATAATAAAAAATAAATAAATACATAAATAAATACATACATAAATTAAATAAGGATTTTTTTTTAGCAATAATACATGATAAATTTATTGTAAAAGTTCTAGTGTCATGCTAAAAATGTCTTTAAGAGAGTTCATTTCATAAAAAAAAGGAAAAAAAAAGTCTTCAGGAATCATTTCAGGATTTCAGAGAGTAAATGCAATTTTTTTTATTTTATTTAATAGGTTTTGAATATTCCGAATATTTATGTAATATTAGTGCTGTGCAATGATCAATTAAAAAATAAAATAAAACTGAAGACATTCAAAAACTTGATAGGCCTAATTTATTTATTTAATTAAATTATTTATTTACTTTTTTATTATTGATAGTTAATGTTTTTTTGTATTCTTGTGCTAATGAACCTTGAGTCAGCAAATAAAGCGAAAATTAAATGATATAATTAACACATCTATATAATAACAGCCAGCAGATATACATGTTCGTCAGATTTTCACACTTAATGCTTTGCACTCCAGCACTAGGCTTTATTAACTAGACTTTGTAGACTCTCTGAAAGGAACCTGGATTAGTTATTTGAGTTTTGTTGGAGGAAAAAACTCTTACCGTTGAGTGTTTCCAGTACAGGATGATTTCGGGAATGTTTTCGGCAGGCTGTAGCGTGGGATACTTCTTCCATTCATTCCAGTCAATAGTCATTGTGCCGTTTTTGTCCATGCTAGAAAATAGGAGGGGAAAGAAGATCATTTAGACCCTGGAATTAATTACTTCCAGCAAAGCTGTGATTCAGTCCATGAAGAGATTAAACTGGGTAACGTCAATGCATTTATATAGCCAGTAACAAAGCCAATAAAATACTATAATAAATGCCTATCAAATTATGAATAACTATGCAATAATAATTAAAACGAATAATCCAACAATGGTTAAATTATGATAGATCAATAATATGGCATTTAATACAATTATAAAGAACATTTTTTATATGAAATGACTAAAAATGTCAAATTAAAATAAATATATGATATATTTATTGCAATTTGATATCTTTCTCTACTTTGAGGTATAAATATTTACACTGTATCTTGAATATATATATATATATATATATATATATATATATATATATATATATATATATATATATATAAAAATAAATATAAATATATATTTAAAGCCCGAATAAAAGCCAAAAAACAGTATATCAGTTTTATTTCACATGTTAACTTCGTACAATATTTCACCTTTTAAGGACTTTCTCCGCTTGCTTTAGGGAAATGTGGACACCAAGATCTCGCAGAGAGTTCACAATGTCGTTGGCGTTCACCTGACCTGATATGGAGCAAAGTAATTAAACGTCAGTCAGTTTTTTTTTTTTTAATCACCACGTTGTAAACCCAGTATTGCATCAAGATATACCTGCAATCTTTCTGTCCATGCTCTTAAAGACAAGCTTCAGGTCTTTCTCATGGTCTTGGAGGTAGTGAACAAACTCTTCAAAGTCCAGCTGGCCATCATGCTCTTTCTCTTCCGTTTTCAGGCTTTTCTGAGGGGGGGAAATTACAAGTTTAATGCAAAAAAGTGTCATCAATGTGTGAGAAATCCAAAGTATTCCAGCTCCAAGTTCTTATTACACAATCAGCATAGGTCAGTGTGTGAATATCTACACCTGGTAAACTAGAACAGAGAGATGAGGGTCTTCTTATCACACAAGAGATTATTTAGAAGAACATCAGGCTATAATATAAAGTAAACCCTATGAAATAAATGTCTAGAAGTGCTGAATCACATTGAGCTTTAAACATTTGACTTTCAGTTGCTGTATCTATTGAATGCATACTTGGAAAGTCTGTTCATGAGATTATAATCATGTTTGCACACTCTTAAAGACGATAACAGCAGGTCAGACAACCAAACCAATACATTTAAAGACCTATATTCATCAATACATTCATAGATCTGTCTCAATTCTGATGGTCTCGTTGAACTTGCACCACTTGGAGCGCAGGCCTTCATCAAATCAAGCGCAGTTTTACTCAAGTAAAATCTACAAGTACCACAGTATAGTGTAGCTACAACACATCGTTGATGCATTTTAACAACATGTCGATAGTAATAAAAATGCGAGTTCATATATTTTAAATTAAGGAAACTCCATACATGGTCAATTCAGCGACGGAAACGCGGGCGCGCGCGTAGAGAAGAGGAACGTGCAACGGAAACGTCATGCGTCAAAAATGTGTAGTTTCATTTTAGACATATTTGAAACTTCAAAAGCGTCAAGCTAGTTGTAAATTCGTCCAAAAGTAACATTAAAAGGCATATATATGTACATAGGTTAGAATGAATGAACATAGGCTGACTTTTACCTTCCTCCATCTTCGGTATGTGGAGAACTCTTGTGACGGCAGAAGGACACTCAGAGACTTGAGAGACTTCAGCTCGGACGGTAATCCATTCGACTCAAAATACTCCACTTCAATCTGGTCAGAATTATGAACAGGCACGTAAAGGCACAGGCACAACATCTTAGCGAAAATAAAAGTCGGCAATAAATAAATAAATAACACAAGAACACTCTCGCCTGCCGGCGGTTAAACGCTGAAATGCCGGTAAAGCGCGTGATCAAGTCTAGAAAAGTACTAAGACACGCCCACTGTGTGAGGATTGAAGCGTTCTGATTGGATTCCGCGTTTACGCATTTGAACACTGTTGCTGGCGTCAGAGACTCACAGACCAATCACAAGCAATGTATGTAAATGAGGGCTGTCCTCTTTCACTACTCTCAGCAGGGCAGAATGAACAGAACAACCACGTGACAGACTGAGTAATTTCCAAAGAAGTGAGTCAGAAGTTCACTTGTTCTTCACTGAACACCCAAAAACCAGCACAGACCTGTAACATGTTGAAATATTCTTCCACAAATATGCTGAGTTAATTTTTAATGGACAGTTGGTTGAATTAATTCACATTAAGTCACATATTTGCTTAAATATAGGCTATGCATGATAAAAAATGAAAGGAGAATTAAAGTGAGTGCAGTTATATAGTTTTAAATAAAGTTATATTTAATTTATGAGTAACGAAATTAGCATACAAAACACAGGCACAAATAAGAAAAAAAACTAGTTTGATTTCTGAATTTTGTTGAATTAAATACTTGTTATTAATTAATAAATTAATTATTAATTTTAGTTTAGGTATTAACCTTTGCTTGGCTTTTAGCACTTCAAAAAGGTTTTTACAAAACGACATCAATTTATAAAGTGAAATTAAATATAATAAACAGACCTAAAACATCACTTAGGAAAATATTTAGGCATTTAATTGTGCATTTGCATGTGAATATGTGTTATTAAGTGACCTTTTGCATTCATAAACCCTTTCTGTGATTCTTAAAACTGTATTTAAAGAGATTTTTCACACTAAATTGATAATATCCTCATCATTCGCTCACACTTTAATGAATTTCTGTCTTCTGTTGAACATAAAACAAGATATTCTGAGGATTGCATGGGAAGCAAATCTGCCATTGACTTCCATGGTAAGAAGAAAAAAGTCAATGTAAGTCAATGGGTGTGTTTTCCAACATTCTTTAGTATTTGCGTTCAACAGAAGTATTTTTTTGGGTGCACTGTCCCTTTAAAAAAGTGATATATTTTTAGAAATACACCACTGAAAGCTGAATATAAGTTCAGAATTGAAATATTATTGAGCTATAAACAGCAGCAGGTCAGTACTGACTGTTCATTTTTGCCAATGCATTTTATCAGGGTTAAAACTCAATATATACAGTGAAATTTACTACAATAAACTGATCTGAAAACATCACTAAGAAAACATTTAGACATTTAATTGTGCATTTACATGTGAATATGTGTTATTAAGACACATGTGAATGTGAATATGTGTTATTAAGACACATGTGAATGTCAATATGTGTTATTAAGACACATGTGAATGTGAATATGTGTTATTAATGAATTTTTGCATTCATAAACCCTTTCTGTGAGTTATCAAATTGTCTTTAAAGAGATTTGTCACACTAAATTGATAATATCCTCATCATTTACTCACACTTCAGTGAATTTCTGTCTTCTGTTGAACACAACACAAGATATTCTGAGGAATGCTGGGGAAAAAAATCTTTCATCGACTTCCATACTATGAAGAAAAAAATACAATTTAAGTCAACTACTATTTTTTCCAACATTCTTTAGTATTTGTGTTTAACAGAAGTATTTTTGGGTGCACTGTCTCTTTAAAAAAGTCATGTATTTTCAGAAATGCACTACTGAAGGCTGAATATGAGTTCAGAATTGACCTATTATTGAGCTAAAAACAGCAGCAGGTCCAACACAATCTCACGGCAATTTGTAACTTTTTGATTTAGTGGCTCATTCGTATGAATTCGTACGATCTAATTCGTACAATTTAGTACGACTTGCTCATCCCCCAATGACGGTTGGGTTTAGGGGTGGGGTTAAGTGCCACGCCTCCTTTTTAAAATCGTACAGTTTCGTACGACTGAACTCGTACGAATTTGTACGAATTAGCCACTAAACTGGCAAAACGTGAAATACTTACGTTTTCTCGCAGGTCAGTACTGACTGTTCTTTTTTGCTAATGCCCTTCATCAGGGTTAAAAACTCAATATATACAGAGGATTTTAATACAATAAACAGATCTAAAACATCCCTTAGGAAATACTTTGACATTTTATTGTTCATGTGCATGTGAATATGTGTTATTCAGTGACTTTTTGCATTTATAAACCCTTTCTGTGATTCATCAAATTGTCTTTAAAGAGATTTGTCACACTAAATTGATAATATCCTCATCATTCGCTCTCACTTTAGTGAATTTCTGTCTTCTGTTGAACATAAAACAAGATATACTGAGAAGTGCACGGGAAGCAAATATCCCATTGACTTCCATAGCATGAAGAAAAAAGTCAATGTAATGTAAGACAATGTGTTTTTCTTTAGTATTTGTGATTGTTTTTGTGCACTGTCCCTTTAAAAAATCATATATATTTAATGAACTCTATTGAAGGTTTAATATGAGTTCAGAATTGGCCTATAATTGGAGCTAAAAACAGCAGCAGGTCAGTCAGGATATTTTCTGCAATTAATTCTCAGTAATTAATGTTAATGAGCCCAAATATAAACAGCGACGCTGCTCAGGCGTAATCCTGCACAAATCTGTCTGCTCCGGTTGCAGAATTACGTCAGAGTCTGCTGGACTGTAGTGACCGTGCTAAAATCAGCTCCTGTGATGTGTATCTGAGTCGAGGGAAACACCACACGAACAAACCTGAATAATGCAGAGGAAAAGCCAGCATGATCTTAAAATCTCTGAAAGGGTTAAACATTCTTCATATACTCTGTTTAAATAGTTGGGTTGAAAATACCCCAACATTTAACCCAACTATAGGTTATTATAGCACAGTCCCAACTATGGGTTATTTTAACCCAATGCATTGGGTTATTTTGATTAAATGTTATTTTTTCCATTGTGGTTTTACTATTGCTACTATTACTAATAATACTATTGATTTTATAATTGTGGCTGGGTAAATAAAAAAACATACAGTGTTTAAAAATATTGAAAAGGCTTCATTCCCGTTACATTTTAATTCCAGACACTTTTGTTAAAACAAAGAATCACAAACATTGAAGAAACAGAACAAAGTGCAGACGGTTATAAACTGTGCAAGCAGAAAATCCTCTGTTGATGGAGCAGAGTATGGAGCTCTGTGTGCTGTAGAGGCGGTCCAGCAGCTGCCGCATGTTACAACACATTTTAACCACATCCAAATGCCTTTAAAAGATAGTCTTGGATGGTGAAATAGATATAAAAAACACAAAACGCGGAGGTGATTTGATAAAAATAACAACAATTTTATTGCGTTATAGCTTAAATAAACTTTATAATGCAAAAACAACATTACACACGCAAATTAATACAGCTGTTCTGTGTCAGTAAAATCAGTCGACTGTTGAAACTCAAATTTTTAACCCAACTGGTTGAGTTATTAAATAAATAACCCAATAAAGGTTAAAAATAACCCAACAAAGCACCAAATATTTAACTCAACTGGTTGAGTTATTAATAAAAAAACATAATGAAGGTTAAATATAACCCAACAAAGCACCAAATATGTTTAACCTAACCATTGGGTCAGATAAATAACTCAACGTTTCTTAGAGTGTACGGCTATAAAATTGTCAAATGTTTAAAAAAAAAAGAAAATAGTGATTTTTTTATGTTTTAGATGCAGCCGACTCCCTGAAAAAACAAACTTGTAAATAGATTGACATATATATATATATATATATATATATATATATATATATATATATATATATATATATATATATATATATATATATATATATATATTGTAGCGAGCAATTATATGTCACGTCGCCCTGGTCGCTAATTTCACCCAGCTGGACCTTCATCAAGCCAGGATCGCACACAGCTGGAGGACATCAAGCGGAGAGACATATAAGCCCAACCTACGCCAGGAGAAGGGGAGCTTCATTCATTCTATGACTCCCTGTGCTAATGCTTGTCTCTCTGTCTCTCCTTAGCGGACTCCAGCTCGTGACGATCCTTCACCCGACTACTCACTGTCCTTCACCTACTTCCCGGAGCACCAGAGCACCTCACCCTAAAGAAGAGCACCTTTTACAACACCTTCACTTTGTAAATAAAGCACCCTCCGGGGACTTGTCTGTAAACTCATCCTGTTGTGCCGTTGTTTTCCCTCTGCCTCGCTACAACTGGTGGAGAATGCGCGCTTTTTCAGAGGGAAAAAAATTCAGCACTTACCAGTAAGAAGAAGTAACCACTGAATTTTCTCTGTTTTTCTTCTGTTTACAGACAGGCATCTGCTCTCTCTCTCACTCACGCTCTCTTACTCGGCTGTCATCCCCTCCTGAGTCATGTCGATCGAAGAGGTAGTACGCCATCTAGCGGAAATCTCAAGAAGACAACAAGTGATAACTGAACAACTCACTGCCAGACAAGACCGTATGGAACAACAGCTCCGCCAAGTGGCCGGTTCCAGCCAGTTCTCTGAGGTGAGCGCCCATAGATTTATCACAAAACTCAGCGACCTGGACGATATTGATGCTTACCTGCACACCTTTGAGGTAATTGCGGAAAGAGAGAGATGGCCGAAGGAAAGTTGGGCGAGGATGTTAGCGCCATTCCTGACTGGAGAAGCTCAAAGAGCTTATTTCGCATTAGAGACACCGAAAAATGACGACTATAAAGCATTGAAAAAGGAGATACTCGCCAGAATGGGACTCTCCAATATAAGCGCAGCACAACAATTTTCTCAGTGGTCATATGATGACAAACAGCCGGTTCGGACCCAAGCAGCCAACTTATCCAGATTGGGAAGATTATGGTTACTGGGAGGAGATCCAACTGCAGTCCAGGTCGCTGAGAAAGTAGTCATCGAAAAGATGATGAGGGCGCTACCCAGACGGCTCCGCACACTTACCAGCATGAGGAACCCCGACTCGCTGGCCGCTTTGGTGGAGGCGGTGGAGCTGGCGGAAGCTCACGTGGCCCGGG